AAAGTGTGCTATCTGCTGAGCTGCCGTGTCTTGCATTTGCCTTTGCATGGGAATTTTCTGCAAGTGTACGAGTGTGTGCGTTGGGTCTATATTAATCGACAATGGGAGCAAACTGTTGTCAGCACTTTTCGTTTTTGGGTTTTTGGTTTTGCATGCTGTCTTTGCCTTTGCGGATGCAAATTGAAATGGATGACAGCGCCAGGCTGGGCACGCTGTGCACGCCAGGCGGTCATTTGCCCCCAAAGCGCGACTTTCGACGCGTTAACGCGCTCCATGGGGGCTTCGATGGCAGGGTTGGCAGGCAATGCATGGTAGTTAGCAGCAGAACTCGCATTAGGGGGCATGCACAGCTTATGGCAGATGGCACACACACTAATGCGAGTCGATTTTTGAGCCATGTTTGCCGTTTGACGGCCGCCGCAATCCCTGCAATTGCAAGCCCTGCCCTGGGGCCAGCATGGGCCCATACGTTGCGGCAGTAGGTGCATATTTGAGGCAATCAAATGACCAACGGAACGCCGTCAGCGCTCGACTTTCGCGACCCTTTGCTGGGCACAGGCTCTCTCTCTCTCTCTGTCTGTTTAATTCGGGAATGTCCAGCTACAAAAAACGTTAGGATTAGGTAAATTTTTCGGTTATGAACGAAGGCAATTCCAAGGTATATTCTGATCTTCTGCCCACTGTCAGGAACAGTGTATAAAGTGGCAGCTCTTTGATTCCATCCTGAAGTTTGGCAACATTCATGGGCTGGCCAATGTCAGCCTTTCCCTTGGATTCATTTGCCATCAGCTGGAGTCGTCGGTCGTCCGTTTGCTGTTTGCTGTTTTCCCTGGTATGGCTTTGGTAGTAAACTTGAATTTTATTGTGCTACAAGAATGTTGCAATATGCTTGGCCATAATTTCAACATCCTGAACATTGTTGCCAGACGAAAATAGGAGCCCCCACCCCCCACACACACACACACACACCCCACACACACAAGAGCCGAAATTTTGCGGTCGTTGCAGGTCTGGTGGGTCCCCCTTTTGTCTGCAGGGAGTCCTGCTAAGGAGAGGCAACTGCATTCCACAAAAACAATGCAAAATGTTTGTTGTGTTTTTTCAAAGATGGAAACTACATTTGAATCCGATCTCATATCGCTACTATATATCCCCATAGCTGCAACAACTTCGTTTTTCGTTATAGCTTTTTCCTTTTCCCTTTGATTTGTTTTCCCTTCCTTTGGGTTCCGGCTGGAGTCAAAGGAGTGGGAACATTATAAATAACATTGCATATTTAGAGAGACGCTTCCTTGGGCAGTTTTAATGGGGTGGCAACTGCGAGTGGCATGGTAGATTGACCCAAGCATCGGTTTTGTGTCCGGACCATTTCAAGTTTTTATTACAACTAATTTAAAATTTATGATGCACTTGAATTGCATTGCTGGCAAAAGTTGAAAAGTCAACTAAAAAAGAGCAACAAAAAACGAAAGCGAAATTCCGTCTGCATGGAGCATGGCAAATGGGGGTGGGGGAGGGGGAGGGGCTGGGGTTGGGCGAAACGGAAACGGAAAATGGCAAATGCATAAAAACAGAAATAAAATATTCATCGCATACTTTTAGCCATCGAGTTATGCATTTTCTTCTTTTCTACTATTTTCTGAATGCACACAGTTTTCCCAGTCTGTTTTTTGTTCTTTCTAGCTGCATTTTGCTGCATTTTCTGTTGCTGTTCTGCTGCCTGTTTTGTCGACTGCTCGGAAATTGCCAATTAAATATTGAAAGAGCCCCAGCCCCAGCAACACAAAATAATATTCATAATATTCGTGATAATAATTGAGTGAATGTTTGCTCTCAACGGTAAGTGGTCTCTGCATCTCTCTGGGTCCCTCTGGGTCTCTACGCCTTTTTGCTGCATTGAACCGGGGTCACCAGTTGTCGAATTCGCATTTCTTGGCGCACTGTGGGGGCACTTCCACGCACAATTCTTAGATACCCACAATATGTTTTTATTTAATTTTATAAATATCTATTTTGTTTTTATTTAATTTTATAAATATCTAATTTATTTTTATTTAATTTTATAAATATCTAATTTGTTTGTATTTAATTTTATAAATATCTAATATGTTTTTATTTAATTTTATAAATATTGTAACGAACCATGGATCCCATGGTTCGTCACAAGCAGATGAAGCAGCCAACGCTACTCCCAGGTGAAGCGATCAACACCCAGCAAAAATGCAACCTCAGCACACGGCAAAAGACAGGAGACCAGCAGAAGGGGTTTACGCAATAAGAACCTAAAATAATATTAAATAAATAAATATTCCTAACAATATATATTCCCGAAGTGCCAACGAAATTCCTTTCCCACGGTACTGGTGCACACCGATCACCTTACCTGGGACATTGGACCCTTGTTGGGAGGCGATTGCTTAGGTAATCCTGGATTACCGGGCAAAACCCCCACATGCGCGAGCCAGTCAGCAGTCTCCGACTCTCCTTACCGGGGATATTGGACACTGACTGCAGGGAATGATTTGGTAACCTTCTGTTACCGATCAGCCCGTCTGCACGCGCAGACTATAATTCGGCCAGAGAGATTTATGTAAGAACCCTTCCCACGGTCTGGAGTAGAAATAAGATATCTATAAGACATTCATGGAAGGCCGGCCGATCTATAAAAAGGCAGTCCACCAGCCATCGTCGGAGGCAGTCAATCAGCCATCGCGAGAGTCAGTCAAACCACCATCCGCGTCGTAGTACAAGTAAAACCTAACATAACCGGGTAGAATAATCATACGGAAGAATACGGAAGAATAAAGAAAACCATTAAAATTAAAAGAACCAAAAAGTGTTGTGATTTCTATTTCAGTTTTCTGGCAAAGTTCCTGGTTTCCCGATAAAGTCCTCGTGAATTATAAATATCTTGTAATTCAGGACCCTAAACAGGCTGATGCATACCTCAGCCTGAAATAGGACATTACAATATATATTTTGTTTTTTATTTAATTTTATATATATGTATCTAAGTTGTTTTTATTTAATTTTATAAATATCTAATTTGTTTTTGTATAATTTTATAAATATCTAATTTGTTTTTTATTTAATTTTATAAATTAAATTTCAACACATGCAAATCCCTATTAAACATGAAAATCCAAAAAAATAATTGACTTTGTTTTGGTAAGATTTTAAACTAATTCAAAAATGAGTTTGCGGAGCTAATGGTAACCCCATAACCGCCTGGATATATATACATATCCATGTCGGGGCGCTGGGTGGAGCGGTGGGTGGAGAGAATAGAGAGAGAGAGAGCAAGAGCGAGAGAGCGAGAGCACTCATGCATAATTCACGGAATAAAAATCATTGAAGTAAAATTAATTTATGTCATGTTGCAGGCTCCGGCTCCGGCTCCGCCGCCACCCCTGGCAGCGCAATGAGTGCAGGGGGGGTATGTAGGGAGTTTTCTTTATTGTAGTTCACATTTCACTCTAATACATAATTCATATAGTTTTTTGTTGCATTAATGCGGGCACCGAAACAAGCTCTGGTGTGGGTGGCTGCTTATTCCGCTGCTCCTTTTGGCCAAATGCCTAATGACTTAATTAGCCCGATAATGGGGGGGAATCCTTCCACAGCTCCATATGTCCCACCATAACAGCTACACTATCTCCACCCCACCCCACCCAGCCACGCAATGAAGCCCATATTCGGAGGCTGTTGTGTCTGTGTCTGGTCGTAAAAATGTTCCATCCGTGGCGCGCACTCATAAATCATAATTACGTTCAAGATGGTGGCGCCTGTGTACCCCATACCCATGCCCCCGCCCCAAAATTACATAAACCCAGTTTCGTTTGCCATCTGTGTAATTAATGCGGTTTCTGTGTCATCTTCAGAGCCAAGCGAATGTTTAGTTTGGTTTGGTTTGGTTTGGCCTACCTTTTCACGCAGCATATCCCGTATGCGTCCCGCCTGGTTCTTCGATCGATGCAGCTCCAATTGCAGCTCCAGGCAACGTTCCTGCCAGTTGATCTGCAAAGAGGGAACCTCCTGAATGTTCTCCTCTCCCGAAAAGTCGGTGGAATTCTTACCTCCGGCAAGGCCTGTCCATAGTTGTTCACCTGATGGACGTCCAAGTGCTCGGTGAGCGTGGAAAAGTGCGGCCACGGCGCATCGGGGGCATCCAGAGCGGCCAGCACGGGATTCACAGGATTCACGGTCGGTTGAGGCGCCTCCGCCTTGGCCCCCTGCTTGGCCGGTATGGGCGGGGGCCGTGGCACGCGCCGTGGCATCAGCCGCGGGCTGTTCGGCGTCGAGGTGGTGCTGGAGAGGCGCCCCTGCACTAGCGGCATTTGACCGCTGAACGAGGTGGCCCGCTTGACCACCAACGGAGAGCCATGCAGCGACTGGGAGCCCGACAATCGCCCCGGCAGCGACGGCGGCTGCTGCAGCAGCTGTTGCTGGAGCAGATGCTGCGCCTGCTGCTGAGTCTGCTGCGACTGCTGCTGCTGGTGTTGGTAGAGGTGCGAGGGAAAGGTGTGCAGGAAACCCACGCTGCTGCCATCCTGGGGCCTCAGGAAGTAGTGGCTCTGGTGGCTCTGCGTATAGTAGAGCGCAGCCGAGGGCGTGGCCCGGCCCGAACTGGAGGCCGATGCACTGGCAGACGGCGAGGGCGACGATGAGGCCGAACGTCGCCGCTGATCCGCTGCCGCCGCTGTGGCCTGCACCTGCAGCGATTGTTGCTGCTGTTGCTGCAGATTTGTGAGCGTATCGAAGATTTGCGATAGACGCCCCAAAGGCACTTCGTCAGACATTGACGTTGCAGTAGAGACAGCGACAGAGCCAGAGAGAGAGACAGACAGACAGACAGAGATAGAGAGAGCTGCAAAAGAAAAGAGAGAGAGAAATTAAATTAATTATAGAAATTAATGTGTACAAACAGTTGCAACGTTTTTGTCGAGGCACAAGTGCCTCAAAAGTCTGTTTCCCCATTGTGAAAAAATAAAACACTCGAATTTGTGGTGGCTCTGCCTTTGTTTTTTCTGTTTATTCGAGCCTCAAGCGGCGGGTAGCCTTTGATTATCCTGCAACTATGGTAATTTTGATGTATTCAAAATGGGAGGGCGTCGCTAGTTCCAGCCAAAGAGACGCTGGAGAATGCCGCGTCTCTCCAACGGCGCCGCCCCAGTCTCCGCCTGCGCCTGCGCAGTCTCGAGGGCAGCCGCTGGGGCTGGCGTTTGTGTGGGCGACACCTGGGCCACAGGCACCGCCACAGCTGGCGCGGGTGCCAGCGGTGCGGCCGGTATGGAGGCGGCCACAGCCGCGGCCAGTGTCAAAGTGTCCTCCGAGGGATGGATCCGTTCATCAATGGGACTGGCCACAGGCATGGAAGTGGCGGCCATATTCGCGGGCGCCATCGCCTGCTGCGGCGAGATAACTCGCTCTGTCCGCCTGTGTTCGGCTTCTGGCATCCTGTGATGATGGTGCCTATGGGGACGGGGAGCGTGCTTGCCACTGCTTGAACCGGGATGCGTCATCCTCTGCAAGCGTAAATATCAGCATTCGTTTGGTTTGGTTTGTTTTGTTTTTTAGCCCAAAATAATACTCACAACCAATTTGTATCTGGCCAAAAAATGTGTAGAAAATTTTGTTAGGTTGGGAAATCTCAGGCTCGACTGAGGAACTGAACACTGAGAACCAAACTATCTGAAAGGTTATCTGCCCAGGCCCACTACGATCGGTTAGGCTTTAACGACATTTTATTTTCGATACAACATGATATTCCAGAGAGATAATCCCTTTGCATGCACCGTAATAAATTTATGTATTTACGTAATTTTCGTTAAATATCTTTTACTCTATGTATCTCTTAGTAAATGCTGGATTTCCATGTACATAATGCACATGGCCCATCCATCAGAGAGAGAAGAAAAGATAAACCGAGTTTGCAATTTAATTTCTCGCTGTCTCTCTCTCTTGCGCGTTGTGATGCTACAGTTAAGGGTGGGTTTACATATGTACATGTAACATGTCAGAGTGAGAGGGAAATATAAGACTGGTCTTGATTGGTCTCGTTTGTTGATGTGAGAAAAATAGAATACGTTGGCTTTCGTCTGCCAATTGGGACCTAAGCAATGCCTGCATAAGAATTGTTTTTTGTAATTTTTAGTCGGAGGTTGTTTAATTTGGGCTACTGGGTAGCTACTAGCATACACATACAATTAGTTGGGGCAGAAATTAACACGCAATATTTCATAGATTATTAAACAAACAAAAAAATGTTATACAGATAGTAGTTTCGATTATTGTCATTATCGTAAGTTTTAGTAGCAAAGACTGTCACGTAATGCATGTCGATCTTTTGGCCTTTGAGTGGCCTAATGCCAACTAAATATGATTTTGCTATGCCCTGATACTGCCACAGTCTTTGGGTAACTTTTGCTGTGACTCAGAGAACACACACAAAACAGCATTCAATGCTGGGGAGACGATCATCATGTGTGCTGTGTGCAATGTTGCACAAACAATGAGCAGGAATCCCTCAAGTGTGCAACCATCAATCAATCTATCAATCGCTTCCATGCATTAGCCGGAACCAGTTCTCATTTACACCTCCATGTGCCAGTTGAGTTCTCTGTGCGGCTACGTGCCACCCAACTCAGGCAGAGGCAGAGCGAAGGGAGAGTGCAGGGAGGAACACCACTGACCAGCGGGATAGTCAGGGTTAGTCTGGGGTTCCAACAGGTGCGCGAATCTGGGGCATCAATTGCCACTACGTGTGCGCAATGCTTAATCAACAGACAGATGGACGGATGGACAGAAGGAGAGCAGCAGCTGCAAAAGGACTTGGACTTGGATTCGGGACTCGGGACTAGGGATTCTCAGGGACAAATTGAATATGCCACTAAATTATAGACAGAAAACTTGACATTTCCTCGCTTGTGGAGTGGAGTGGAGTGCTGCCTGCCTGCCACAGAGTAAGAGAGAAGGCTCTTCTCTTTCATGTTTTGTGGTTTACCCAGGGGCTGATGGGTTTTCAAGCACATTCCCCAGGACTCTTAGGACTCTTGGGACTCTTAGGACTCTGACTCTAACTCCAACACCGACTCACTTCCCCTCTGTCGAATGCATTTGTGGATGCTGCTTTCTTTGCTGTGAATTTTTGTGGCTAAAAAGCCTTCATCTTCAGACTCCATTTCCTGCTGCTGCTGTTCCTGCTGCTGCTTCTGCTGCCTCTCTGCTGCTGCGGTCGAGACGCTTGCAAAGGACAGGACTCCCCAAAAAGGACCCCGAAAACCCATTCATAGGAATTATTTTCCAATTTTCGTGCTGCATTCTAAGGAGTACAAGTGTGTGCGGCATGCCCCATGCCCCTTTTCTGTGTGCACACTTCATTTTACAAATTTTGATTTAATTCAAGTTGATTGAAATTCAAATTCAGTTTTTGATTTGATAAAATGTCCTTCTCCTACTTCAACTCCTGCTCCATCTGCTGTAGTGCTGCTCGCAGCACTACAAAAGGGACAGCACATTCCCTTTGCCATGGCCACACTCCTTCCATTTCCATTTGCATTTACATTTCCATTGCTCAATTTCTATCTCAGATTTTAAGTGCACTTTGCAGCAAATTGTTTCTAATTTCTGTGAAAACTGGCAACGCTGCTGCTGCCTGCTGCCTGCAATCTGCAATCGAAAGGCTTGAGATGCACAGCAAAGTGTGGCCGAATGGCAGACATCGTCCATGAATTGTGGCAACAGTGGGACTCAAAAGGTATTCAGTTTCAGGGGATTCAAGATGATATAACTGGAAGGTATTCAAGAGAGGAATTTCAAGAGAGGAATCTCTAAAAAGCGAATCAGATATTATTTCATATTTTGTTATGTTTTACAATAATTTCCTAGGAATTTCCTTGGGCAGTTTCCTTTCTTTCCCTGTGTCTGCTGTGCTGCCACAATACTAATATGGCACTTCCTGTCGTTGTGTCGTGTGGCACTTGTGCCAGCGAAAGGTTTAACGAACTCATTAGCCCCGGCATTAGGCCTCGGGTTTCAGGTGGGACTCAGGTCTCAGGTTGTCAGTGGTGGAATCACAGCCGCCATAAGCCGCTTAACAATATGTAACTTTGTAGTGCATTATCTTAGCATGCCACATGCCACACATGCAACTGGAACTGGCACTGGGATATGGCATTGGGATCTCGGCTCTGGGCTCTGAGTGTGCAACTGAGACACAGCTTTTGGGGGATTCCTTCTGCACATTGTCTTCTGTTTGGTAGAGCGAGGGGGTGGGTAGGGAGCAACGGCGCAAAGAAACGTAAAGGAAATGAAAGCAAAGAAGTCATGGCTTTTGGGGGCGTGGGGGGCGGGGGGAAAACTCACTCAAATAGTTAGCAAAACTTGTTTCAGCTCCAATGAAGTGCACATGGCAGAGACGGCGACGGTGGCGGCGGGGGGGTGAGAGGAGAAACAAATTTCTAAAAACCCCCAGACGACAGTTAAGCCCGCCCGTACCCTTACCCCCCTGCGCACCCACAGCAGCAGCAGCAGCAGCAGATCTTTGGTTTCTTCTGCTGGCTCTCCAGTTTCAGTTGCAGTTGCACGCTGCACTTCCAACGTTGCCTGGGGCTGAAGCTGAAGCTTTTGCAAATATTAGACAATGTATTTATGTGTATTATCAACGATTGCACTGGGAATGTATCTGCACACACACACACACAGACAGACACATGTGTCGCGTCGTCGTCCACTCGTGTCCTGCCACAGATGGTGGCATGCTCTAGCGATGCATTCTCTCTCTCTCTTGTTTAAGGACTTTGCAAGGGTTTAAGTAATGAACTCGAGTATTGCGCTACATAAAGTGCAGTATTTTATTGAACATTCTCTGTGCACATTCCCCTCTCCCACTCTCTCTCTCTCACTCCTTCTTTGGTGTCAATCTCTCTTTGTCTCTCTGGCGTTGCAAGCTGCAAAAATGTAACGCTGTAAAATTAATACAACATAAAAGACTTAACCCCACCTGGCCCCACAGATACGCGCCACCCCTCAACCCCACCGACCCCATGTGGCACCCGAAAATAATTTCCAACACGACAACACACCTTGCCTCCTGTGGCCCTGTGCATCCTGTGGCTATGGTCCGCCCCCATCCCCATCGCTGTCCCCTTCTCTGTTTTGTGGCACTTGAAAAATTTAATAAACGTTGCAGCATCTCCTCCTCGTTTCGCATGCCAATAATTTTACAATACTGTCTGCTCCCTCACTCCCTCAGCACTCTAGCCATCTCTCTCTCTCTTTCTCTAGTGTTTTGCATCGTCAATATGCAACACAAAAAACAAAGCCAACGAATCAGCAGGAAAAGCTAATCCGAAGCATTTGATGCCCTTACGCACAATTATCGATTAAACAGTAGTGTTGGAAGATGCCTAATAGTGTTGGGAAATGCCTAATAGTGTTGCCAAGTGCCTGCATGGCAGACTGTACTTTTATCAATTTATTATCAAGAATAAGTACATTTTAAAAGCGTTTACACATGCTCCAAAGGGTATATACTCTTCTGAGAGGACATGTCAATGAGGGGGAGAGTGTCAAGTCAGTGAGTGTTTCGTTAGTTGCAGTGTGGAACAACAACTACTAAGCGTCGTATTAACAACATTGTAACATGCATGAAAAACCAAGAGAATGCAGAAGGGAATGGAGTGCAGCACTAGAGTCAGACAGAGAGCTCCACTCCCACTCCCACTCGCACTGCCACACTCGCTTCAGTTTCTTTGTAGGAGCGGGTAATACCCTATGACAGAGAGTGCAATTTCGGAATACGTCAAAGGCCATGCGAATCTTAACCTGCAATATTCTGCCATTAATTTTGAGGATATAAAACTGGTAGGTGTTTTTTCTATAAGTATGCCCTATAACGTGCATTTAACCGGTTACCTATGTCGTAGTAAAATAAATACATATCAATTTAAGTTAAATATTCGATTTCTGAATACCAACATACTGAAATTAATTATAATATAATAAAATATAAACATGAACAACTTTAAATTAAATATAATATTCAATTTTAAGCTTAAACAAAATTAAATGTGCTCTTTTTACTGAGTTTAAATATGTGTATAAAATAATTCTCTATGTATGTATGTATGTACATACCTGATGCTACTCTTAAGGCTACTATAATTACCAAATATATAGCTGACATTCTATAGCCAACGCATGATAAGTCAAACAATAGTTTTACCCTCAAGATTATATTTTATTTATGTAAAAGATCACATAATAATATCATAAATGCTATCCCTACCCTATCTATAGTGTATTCCCTATTTCCATAATAAAAAGCTATCTTTCTGGGTTTTCTTTGTTTTTCATTCAACTATTTTTCACTCAATTCCAACGAAAAATTTATAATAAATGCTCGCGCACATGTGATGTGTGGCGCATTTTAATTGGTTCTCTCTGTGTCTGTCTGCTACAACTCCCTGGCGGTGCTGGGGAGTGTGGATCCATAGAAGTGGCATGCCCCTTCACTCCACCCAATCTGCGGTTTGCTCCCCTGCAAAACGGTTGTCATGCCCTTCCGCTATCCACACAGCTGTAAGCACTTCTCGCTGGGTTCTCCATGACCTACGTGACAGGCAATGGGACTTGCAACGCGACTTGGACTTGCTTTATGGATGTGGACTGGCGACCAGCCCTAGACTTGGGCTCTAGATCAATG